GGATTAGCAGCGGATGCAGTTCGTATTCGTAAAATCCTCCGGCAATAGACTTTCCGCGAGAATCCTCGAGCAGATAGTCGCTGGATTAGTTGTCTGCACTTTGACGATTTTAAACACTTCGGTTGTCCAATTCGGTGTATAGCCTTTTTCAAAGATGGTTTTGAATTTGCTCACGCGTACCAGATCACCCCACTTTGAATCTCGCAGGCGCAGCGATCTTTACGTTGTTGTAGACTGTGTGTAGGAGCTTATCAGCGATTTCGGGTGTCACATCGATAGGACGCATGCCGATAGTTCGATGTTTCCGTGTGTTGTACTCCATGATAAGGTGTGGTAACGAGTCGATCCATTTGTATGTTCCATTCAACGTAAACATTTTCCACATGTCGTTCTTTAACGTGCGGTTGAATCGTTCCACAACAGATGCTTCATTACCGAGTACGTAGAATAATGATTGATACCGTGTTTTTTAAGGAGTTTCTGCAGATCCGCATTATAAAATTCTTTTCCCTGGTCCGTTTGCAAATTTTTCGGACATCTTCCAGATTCTTGAAATATCCTGGCGAACACTGCCACTGCTTCTTTACCGCTCTTGCTCTTCATCGGTACAGCCCACGCATATTTGCTCCACACATCGATAATAGTGAGTATATAGTGGTAGCCTCTATTGAATCGCGAGTAAGGACGCATCTCTACCAAGTCAGCTTGCCAAAGATCATCGTATCCGCGCACTATGACGCGTCTACGGGGAAAATATCTTCTCGCTGGAGCGTGCAACTCCTCCACCGATGCTTTTCGTTACCGATGAGCTGCTTCTCTGAACTTTTCTTCTTTTTGTTAAATTTTGATGATTACTTCGCCATTGCAGCTTGTGATGATCCGTCTCTCGCTATATTGATACTATATGTCAATTTAACTATAATATTCTACTTTTAAATTTCCCTGATTTCTTTATCTCTGAGCGTGTCCAGTCTAAAATTATGGTATTGATACAGTAGTCTATCTCTCCATTCTAAGTAAATATAAAAACTATATCTTATCATTTTGAAAAGATAAGTAGTTGTAGACCTTTTACGTCTGCGCATCACCATCCCCACTACTTTCTCTATTCTCTACGGGGAAAAACATACGGTGTTGAGACTGGCGAAGCATTCAAGCTTCGTTGTCCTACTTGCAGCATAGCTATTCTCGTTATTACAAGTTATTAACAAGTTCTTGGAAGAAAATGTTCGGCGCTAACGTGGATACCGCTCTCAGAAGACGTCGAAGAAGACGAGCAGTCTCTCTACAGAAGTGGGAAACGACCGTAACATGCTTCTATGTACGACGTACGCGCTCACAATTCAGACACTAAGAGGATGCAGGTTGGATTGCGCACCACTTACGACATGGGTCCATTTGAGCCAACGATCAGGATCATGGGGAACACGTCTTCAGGAATTCTCCTTGATTTGAATACGTGGAGAAGTTTAAAGATATTATACCCTCTGCAAATTCTTATTTGTGTGGGGAAAATAAGAATACACCAACCTCTATCATCATCAACAATATCAGCATCAACTTTACCTCAGCGTATGGTGCACGAGCTGTAATAGTGAGTCAGCGAGGGAAAATGCTGGACGAGAGCGGACCTGCGAAGAAGACATCGGAGGAGTCTACGCATCTGAAGCAACCGCCGCTGAAGAAGCGTAAGCTGTATACGGAGAATATTATAATGCAGAAACATCTCTCGGTGGTCTGCAAACTGTCACAAAATGTATCGATGCTAGATACGAATATTACAAGCGGTTGCCGCTCTTGTGAGTAATTGCAAATATATTTTAGTAGGCGAAATAGAACTTAATCTCACGAAGGAAGGTGTAAACGAAGATTTCGTAAAACGGACGCTCGTTGATAAATATCGCGAAATCGAGGAAAATGTACGACGGCAAATGAAAATTTACAATTTTAGACACATATTTTAATATTGTATTTCGTGAATTGACTACGATTCATTTAAATGAAATTATACACGAGATTATAACAAACGCAGAATGCTACGAGTGTTTGCGAAACTACGAATGTAACTTCAAAAATAAAATGTGAATTTATTTTATAAAAATGTTGTATATTCCTTTCTCCCCACCTCTTTTCTCTTCCCTGCGATCTCCAATTCGTTGTAACAAAACCCAACTTAACTTAACTTTTCGAGTTCGAAAGCGAAGGGGACACACAGGTAAAAATATATTCTACTTTTATATTTCCGCTGATTTCTTTATCTCTGAGCGTGTCCAGTCTAAAATTTGGTCTATGTTCTCATGAATGCTATTTATGCTCTGTATGTTTTTTTTCCGGTAGTCTTCCAGCCAATCCTTCAATTTTTTAACATTCTCATCTACATACTGCTTCATCTCAATGTTACTCTCATGCAGTAGAAGCTTTACAGCATTTATATTCTCATCGATATACTGTTTCTTCTCAACGTTACTTTCATGCAACATAAGTTTTACAGACTTTATACTCTCATCCACATAATATTTGTGCGCAGCGTCATTGAAGGCTTCCGGCTGCGGTACATTATGTATCGCATACATTTTTGCATCGAAACATTTGCCATCACGACCTTTACTATTGGCGGTTAGACAAAGGGCATTTTCATGTACATATCGTTTGGTTGCAACGTTGTTTAAATGATATCTGACACCTGCAACACATTCTTCCACGTATTGTTTGGTTGCAACGTCACTATCGGCTTCAGGTTGCGCTACATGTTGTATCTTGCGCGACTTTGCGTCGAAAACTTTGGCAGCGTTTAAACAAAGAGCATTTTCATGTATGTAATCTTCAACATGTTCATTCCATTGATGCGCTTCGATCGGAGAACTATTGCTGTCTGGCAATACTCCAAACTTATGCGTCGACATTTCGGAGCAAGCTGTGTCGATGCTCTCGACTGGCTGACGATTGACTGACTGACTGACTCGTGTCAGTGCAGCGTTGTTTAATTTATAATAAGACCAGCTTCGCGGAGTTCTTCGATAATCGATAAAATTTCGTTGTCATGAGCGTTGTTGCCGGCTTGGCGCGAAGCGTCAAGCAATCGCAAACGATCCACCAGCTCGTTGGGATCATCCCAATGCACGTAATCGATATTGTTGTCATTTAAGGTCATCATAGCTTGAGATGCATATAAACCTTTTCCGGCCACTTTATCGCTCGACGCATGTGATACTAGGGGCGCGATTATATGTTTATATTTGTGTCCCTTGTTACCGAGTATCGGATTTTGCGGGAGGTACCCGCGTCTGTGAGCATTCGTCGCCAATAGTATACTTTTGTATTTTTGCATATCAGCCTCGGTGTACACAGAATCGTCGGGGATTCTTTTGAATATTAGCTCGTAAAGACCGGGTGTTCCAATGTATCCTGTTCCGCCTATGATTATATTATCGTCTCTGTCCACATCGACACGTTTATCACCGAGCATTGCTCCATCGTTACTAAGACGTACACCGTAAACATAATCTATAGTGTTATCTTTTCTACTACTTAGCACAGCCCCCATATATTTTTGACCCAACGGACCAAAATGATCATGTAAAGTTTGTTGTCCTTTGTACGTTCGCAACTGACGTATAACGGATGTCATTACCGGTTTATCGGGGGTTTCGAAAACATTCTCATCATCATCATCATCATCAGTGAGTAGATTGTTGATCGGTGAAGATTCATGTGGTTCCTCATATTGTAGAGCTTCGATGTAGAAACTATCGAAGGATCATTGAATAGTTTCCGTTTCAGCGGAGTCAATGCGGCTGGTGAAAGTTTCGCCTTACGCTTTATCTTTTTTTCGGGTTTTAATATTATACTCTTTGTTTCTTCGCTTGTACTCATTGATAGTGGAGCAGTTTTAACATCAACGTTACTTTCCACATTAGCGCTGCTTCCCGCGATTTGCTTGAGAGGTTCAATAATAGGTTTAAAGTGTCTCTCCAATGCAGCATTCTCAATAATTCTACCGGTTTTCAAAGCGCGATACTTCTTGCGGATCGATTCGCTCGTTTTCGCAATCTCTTCCGCTACCTTTCCACGATTCTCAATCTTCATGCTACTATTCATCATTGATATATTTGTCTCGTGGACGTTGAAGATGTTACCACGTTGAGGTTGCAACGACGATTGAGCATCTCACAGCACAGCAAAGTCGTTAAATCGTTTCCTATATCGTCCGTTGGTCATTGAGCTGTCCTTATCAATCACTGTGAAACCATATTTATCCTCCCAACATTTGCGACACAATGCACTGAAATCTTCATATGACATGTCGGTATTCACATGATCGTTGTACACATGTTTCAAATTGGTACCATCCTGTTTAAAGAGAATCAGAAAATTTGCATTGTCTCGTATAAGATGCTTGAGTATTTTTGCGTACGTTTGACAGAGATAGAAACAGTCAACGTTCGAATGACGACCCATGGCAAAGTATTCTCTTATGGTATCTTGCTTGTCACATGCCACATCGTCAAAGATAAAAATAGAATTTTTGGACGCTTCGGTCGTTGGAATCACGTCGCTGTTATCGGAGAATGTAAAGTATCCAATTTCATCTATCGGTTTCAACAAATTTTCCAAGTAGCGATATTTAGGTTGTTGCAACGATTTTGAGTACACGTACAAGTTCTCGAAACGCAGACCGTGCAGACTTTCCAGCAAGCTGATGAGAACATTCGTCTTGCCGCAATTCGAGGGACCGCATATGATGCCGCGTATGGTGTTCGGAAGCATGTTTCCATGCCTGCGCGCCTCTTGTCCAATCATTGATTGCGTTCGATTGTCGAAATTTGTCACACGTATCGATGTCGGTTGCTTCACGAATCGCATGTTTCCCCACGTCACAAAATTGATTATGTTAACGGATCGTTGCGATTGAACTATATATATAGACGCGCCGATCTTGGAAACGCTCAGTTTAGAAAATGTTGCTCCTTTTGACAGATACTCATGATATTCGAGAGCTAACCTCCGAACAGTTGAAATACATACCGAAGATTGTTTTGTTACGCGATTTTGCAAAGTATATTGGCGATTTGTGGGACAGACTCCCTGAACATATAAGAGTCGATCCAGAGGTTCAGCAGTATCGTCGATGTTTGGAACATTACAATCGTCCGTGGCAGCGAACGCATATCGATGGTCCGGCACCGCTGATCCGGGACTGTAGTGAATGCCTTCGACAAAAGTCAAAGTCAGCAGCGGTCTGTTGAATCGCGCGATAAATGCGCTTCCTATCGAACTACACATTCCCGGATATCAATTTTACGGTCCTGGAACTCGCTTGGCAAAACGATTGGCCAGAGGCGATCGAGGCATTAATTCATTGGACGCGGCGTGTCGTGAGCACGATATGACCTATTCACGTAGTAACAGTCTCACTGATCGACACGCGGCGGATAAGATTCTCGCTGTAAAAGCGTGGAAACGCATAACTTCGAAAGATTCAACTCTAGGCGAGAGAGCGGCTGCTGCCATCGTTTGGGCTACCATGAAAGTTAAAACGAAAATCGGTATGGGCATGAAGAAAAAGAAGTCGTCCAAGAAAGCAATCCGAAAACGAGCACTTCCGATAGCAAAACGGGGTGGTATTTTACCAGTTCTGCCATTACTAGGAGTTCTCGGTTCACTAGTCGGTGGAGCGGCGGGTGTCGCAA